GTTGCTAGTGGTAGTGCAAATAGGATTTTAGGTTGTATCTACAGAAATGTTGAATACAAGTCTAAAGAGGTTATAATTTCATTGGATAGGTCACTGGTTAGGCCATATTTTGAGTATTGATATATTGTGTTCAGTCTTGAGATTTTACAAGGGAAGGGCATTGAAATGTTGGAAAGGGTTCAGAGGAAGACTGTTAGAATGGTGTCCAGGATGGAGTGGTTGTCATACGAGGAGAGGTTAAGATCTCAGAAACTGTTTTCTCTTGAAAAAAGAAGAGCTAGAGGGGACCTGATTGAGGTGTTTAAGATTGTTAAGGGAATTGATAGCATTGATGCATCAACCTTTTTCATAATTCATGGCAAGAATAGTAGGAGTATGTGACACAAATATAATTTTTGGCACTGTAAGAGTCATCTTCAGCTAAAAAAGTGTTATTTTTCTAACAGGGTGGTTGACGTATGGAACAGAGTGCCTTTGGATTCTGTGGTGTCAGGAAATTTATTTTAACTTGAGTTTATGAGAAAGATATATAACTATATGAATGATGAGGGTTGTCTTTGAGGTTAACGTTTTGTTTTTTTATCTTATTTTACTTAATAGTTTTAGTTTAGTTTAGAGGATGGGACAGCTTATATGGTCACTTATTCAGTTAATGTCCCTAAACGTTAGGTGTTCATTTTTATAAATATCTTACCGTAGTTTTTTTCTCCTTCGCTTCCCGTATTCTGGCGTAAACACTATCCAGCGCATCACCTATCGAGTCCACCATTCTTAATTTCCTTAGTCTAGAGTGTTTGCGTGACTTTAACTACTAGTGCTACTATTTCAAGTCAATGTGCAATATTCATAAACTTAAGGGAGTGAAAAAAGTTTTACTGAGTTACGTATTTATCAAAACAATAAAAAATATATCATTAAAATCTTTATTCTACTTTCCATAACTCAAATAAATATTACTACTAATAAAGAAAATAATGGCGTAACAGTCCCTATTTAATATTAATCAAGCTTAATAGCGAAAAAAGTACCGTTACAATATCAATATTGTTACGACGGCGGAAGTCACGTGACCCTAGTAACACCTCATGATGTTCTCGAAGATTCTTGAATGCTCGAGTGTTTACTAGATGTGCGGTATTCTTGTATATAAGACCGCCAAGAAGTGACGGCAACAATGGAATTGAATTGCAGACAGAGATAGATACGGACAATTGAGTCAAGCACGTGAATCGTTCGTTGTGAATTATAGCGTTTGTTTAAGTTATAGCATGACTGTGGAAATTAAGTGTATTGCAAAGTTGTATTGAGAAAGAATAAACTAGTTTTATTTAAGAAAGGACTTGTATCGCTAAAGTTTCTTCGGAAAGAATTTTTACGGAAAATTAACAAACGAACACAGAGGTGTAACAATATCATACTTGTCCCTTGGTTTCTCTCGTCACAAAAAGAAGTTTGACAAAGCATAAGATCAATTAATCAAATTGGTGTTTGAATAAGAATAATTAAAACTTCACTCAGTATTCCTAATCAATATTTTTCGAAATCTTAGCACCGTGCAAAACGTTTCTGAGAAAATATTGCTAAATCATCTAGTAATCTTGGAATTCTTGAAGCTAATATAATTTCTTAAAACACATCCAAAGGCCGTGCCTTTTTTCTTCGTTTTGTTTTTATTACTGAAGTTTATATAACAAATGGAGCAGTTTTTATAGTTTCGTTTTATGATTCAGAATATTCAATTAATTCTTAATTTCGTTATGTATTTCGAAAGTTATGAAGAATTTTTTGTCCAAGTTACTAAAATTTATCAGTAAAATATATTCTAATCATCATTCTCAACATCAAGCAATGAAGGAGCCTCTTCTTGTCAAATTTGTTGTATACTTGACTCCTCAGCTTCGTAAAATGTTTCAGCTGGTAACTCTATCGGTGACATGTCCTTTATAGAGTAATTCAGCATATATTTCGTTTTGGCTGGTGTCATCTAGAAAAATGCCTTAATTTTTGATACAGTAGTATTTAATTGGGTACTCCAATCAGCAGAAATTATGCTATCCACCAAAACCTTATGAGCTTTCTTTGCTGATACTTTTCGAGTTTTGTTGTTTTTACTCAGTTGATATATCTCATACAATTTCGAAACCCAATCGTTTTAGTCGCGTAGGGTTATTTCCAGGATATTTTGCCCAACCACAAACCAATGAAGAAGGAGCCAAATCCATCTCACCTGATACTTCTGGAACTCTTGACGATCTCATCGTGTCAATACCACTTTTTCTTAATGCTGAAGAATGTGAGGCTGCTTTAGAAGATAGAGCATCATCATTTTAATTTTGTGCAACAAAATCCTTTGTAAAGAGACGCGTTTTTTGTGAAGTGGATGATTCCTTGATATTTTTAAATGCATCACAATTTTACTATGCGAAATAACTTCAGGAGTACTATTTCCAGAGCTTGCAATAACGAGTACAGAGTTTCATGCCAATTGATTTCAATGGTCGATCTACTTCCAGCTGTCTTTGTCTGGAACTTTGGGACAGCTGTTGTTCCTACGACACCATTACGAAATTTTAGGGCTTTAAAAATGTCTTCCTCTGTTGTTATATCATTATTATCCTCCACAAATGACTTTAATGTTACGTTGAGGTAAGAGAAATGAGTATCTAAGTGGCCATGACCAGTCTGTGCTTCTGTAAATATCCATTTAGAAATTCTTACTGGGTTTTGTGTCTGCTCTAAGTTCCTGATTTAATTGATAAATGCGTGAAATTAATTCTTGTGATGCAAAACATGTAGCGTTGTCACTTTATACCACAATCGCATTGACATTCCGATGTCGTCTTTTTACATCACGTACAAGAATTGATATTACACCAGCAACTTGGATGTTGTCTTGGCCAGAATATCCACGAATAATGTAATCAACTAAATTGTACTAATATCCAATACAAGAATTTCCATTTTTCTGTGTAACCTCAATTGATCCCAGCAAACTCATCCCCTTCTTTCTAAAATACTCTATTTGTCCTTCCCTGTATTTCATTGGTAGTACTTTTTGCTTGTAATCAATGACAACAAGGGCTATTGACTCATTGTGTTTCAACGATTCTGTTACGTCTGTGTTCGTTTGTTAATTTTTCGTAGAAATTCTTTCCGAGAAACTTCAGCGATACAAGTCTTTTCTTAA